TCTCAGTTCCATTAGTCGCACCGCAACGAATGCCTAACCTCGAGGGTCTATGTTAACGTCGAAACTTAGCTTGGCTAGGCTGTGACAGGATGCGGACTCCGCAGTTTGAGGCCCAATGCCCCGGTCGAATAGTAATGTAGGAACCTGATTAAGAAACCCTGGCCCCATAACCCTCAAAATAGTAGGATTCAAAAAAGAACCCTAATAATGACGGCCGAGGGTTTCTTAATCAGGTTCCTCTTTTATGATTCCTCAGACTCTCCTCCGAAAGAGTCCCTGCCTTCCGGTCTGTTACGGAAGGGCCAGAAAAATCAGGTGCCACCTCCCACGGACCGTGCTTAAGCCCGAAGAGTTCCGGAATTCTGACAACACCTGCTGTAATTATTCTTGTTGATGTTATGACTATCATTATGTGTATTAATGTTGTTATGATAATAATTTGTTGTCGTTATGATTGCCACTATCATGTCCCGAATCCTGGCTTCCAGAGGTCCCTGGTTGCGAGACAGATCCCAGCTCCGCTGCGCAGCTGTGGAACCGCATTTCTGCTGCAAGTTGCGCCTGTGAGGTCGACTTTTCTCTACGCATCAAGTTCCATGTGAGCACGAGTGTCGGAAAGAAGTGGCCAGATGTCCGCATCACACGTGTGTAAAGCCCGACGTCATCGCATGTGGCTTCCCAGAGCATGGGCTCGCCTGAGTGCCGACGGCGTCTACTGGTACACCATGTGTTTCAACAGAATGCAAGCACTGCGTGGCAAAACTGTGAGATTACACGGCTGTACGTATCCTTAACACTGACTGAGGCTTGAGCCTGAGAAGGCTCAACAAATGTGTTGTCTATTTTTTGCCAGATGGCGAACTTCGTGAAGCATCCGAAAATCCAGGGCTTCATGACTAGTTTAAGTTTAAGTTCAGTGTTCTCCATTGCGAGGCCTCGTGCTGGATGGGGCCGACTTGGCTTCCTCACTGAAGTCCTTCGATGGGGAAGATCCGCTGCCAGAGTCCGCCTTGCGAGCCTTGGCCGTGCATGTGGACACGCGCATACTCTTTCCGTTTGCCAGCGTATCTGTCTATCGAATATCATTAGTTTGGAAGGTTTCCTCCGCCCGCCCGCCCACCCACCCATCCATCCATCCATCCTGTGAGTGTTTGCTCCCATCACCATCGCCACACGACCCTCATAATTAAGCATTGTAATTCATGTCAGATGCGGTAAACTATGCAGATTGCCCGCTTTCCGCACGGGGCGGGGCTGGGGTACCATGGGAGGGGGGGGGGGGGGGGTAGGACCCGAGAGCATACCTACGGGCACCAGATAGACGCTATGTTGCTAGCTTGGGGCGCCAGAGTTCTGAAGTTGCCGGTGTTGTTACCAGCATGCTTGTGAAGGAAAAGTGGGGGTTTGCAGCACTCCTGTAAGCCTTTGCAGACCAGTCTGGTCAATATGCAAAAAGCACTCCGACATTGCAGCAACTCCGTCACTTGCCGACCTTCTCAAGATACTAAGTCCTTTGTTGAACCTCAAGGTGCCTTGGCGGAGGCCGCCAGAACGCAGCAGCCACTTGTCTGCTTAGAACCTTTTTCCCGCGCTGAAAGTGGAGCGATCCATAGCGGGGTCGAAAGCGAGGAGACGTTGCAGGGACTCTTCTGGAACAAGGATGAATCACAGTAGCTGTGGCACAGGGGGCGGGGAGCTGCAAGTCTTGAACCACATTTAGAGCCAGTTGTCCTCCTTCTATCTTGGGTTCTATGCGTGTGCATGTCTGTAGAAGTTTCCTATTGTACCCTCATTCGGACCTTGTTCGGGGACCCCTGGCCCGTTATAGGAGAGCCACCCAAACCTTGATTCAATTGTTAAGGCCGGTATGTTAGAACCCTTTAACGAGAAACCCCCACTTTGATGACTTATGCCCCTATGATAGCCGGTAGCAATATATATGAAGCCTAATACTCCTAATTTTAAACCCTCTCTACCTGCTTAAGCTCCTGGGCTACGGTTTCAATTTGCGAGGTTGATTGACGATCTAAAGTCGAAAAAATGCTTGTCAGTTGAGCAACCTCAAGAAAAGTTTCACTCACCATCGAGGAGGCACTAAGAACCTCGCCTGGCATGTGCAAGTGCGAGCACATGCGAGCACCTGAACCCTACAGCCTATATATATATACACACACAGACACACACACACACACATATATATATATATACATATACAAACTGTAATGAGGTTGGTGCCCTTGGCGCTGGCGCTCCATGGATCTTTGATGCTACCAGGCACGCTCACCGCCGAGCTGCAGGCCAGGCGACGTGGGGCTTCCTTTTAGAACTTTAGAGTTGAGGGGTTAGGGACAATGAAGGGTTCAGAGCAACGTAGGGTTCCGATTTCCGAAGGTTTCGGGAATGCGTCGGCTAAAGGATTAGTATTAGTACTGTCGATATAGTAAAAGGCTGCTCTATACTAGTTGTGCAGGGGTGTTTCGGGATGGCAGTGTTATCTGTGCCAGGGCTTGTTGCTAGAGGCCTACCTATGTATTAAAGTCCAAAGCATAGGCCTGCGGCGAAGACGACGGTTTGACCGTATTCGATGTTGATGCTCTGCTCTGCGATGCTATCTTGTGCTATGCTATACGACACTGCTGGATACATCGACGTGGAGTCAGCATGTACTGGCTGCAGCTGTGCCACAACCTGCGTCAACTCGAACTCGGGATTTGGGCAAGTTCCCATGCTGTGAGAACACTTGGCTTTAGTTGCGCAGGCCTGGCTGTCGAGAGTCGTCACTGCCACGCAGATGCAGAGAATGGGGATGATATCTGCAAGGCGTCGGCTTTGCCAAGGCAGAGGAAACGAAGAAGATGCACAGCAGCCCCGTCGGTTTGTGGGTGTTTGAGGTCTCGGCTTCGGAGGGTCCGAGGGTCCCCGAGCATCCGATGTTTGAGGCAATTGCCCGAGCAGTTGGGCCACAGTTTGATATTTATGACAACCTGACATGGGCGGGTCTCATTGACCTTTGTTCAACCTCACACTTTTAATGATGCCCACCACTCTTTCATCACAGCGGGCACGCCACATGAAGACGTGCATGCTTAGCAAGTTGGATGCTCTCAGGTCCAAGATCTTCAGGCTGCACAAGGCCCGACGAGAACTGGTCTAGGCAGTGGGATAAAATTGTTCAGGCTTGGACAGGGAAACCACCAAGCCAGTTGTAGGCTAGCTAGACAACTAGCAGCTAGACTGCCAGAGACACTGTCCTCCGCCGACAGGCTCCATTGCATCCTCCGTGGCATTGCAGCAAATGGCACATGCAGTGGTGCATGACGCCCGTGGCATGGAGGACCAGGGCGGATAATCTGAAGATGAAGGGCCCACGTGCAGCTCTGCCTTCGCAGATCTACCGTGCTTTGACAAGAAATTTCGTTTCATCCGGCGGGATTTGTCTGCTGAACCCTGCAGATCGAGGTCGCAGATTTGACCCATATTATAGCGCCTGCTCCAGAGGTATACGCAACTGGGAACCGCTAAAACTATATAGAGCGAAACTGACCTGAGCCTAGGAACCCCAAGCCCTATAGCTAAATGAACCCTGGAAATATGAGACCTCTGAGGCCTATGCCTTCCAACGCTACCCCTTCCTCAGATGCCAGGACTTGTTGGAGAAGTCACGGGAGGTCTTCTACGACTTGACATCCATGTTGCAGCCGGGGTCTTGGTCTACATGGCCTGTCGTATATCCTAGGGCTTGGGCGCCTAGGACAGACGAGGGCCCCAGCGAACCAACTACAATTGTCTGAAAAGCTATTTATCACATATGTTATCAGTGTTTTCGGGGTTGGGGGTGGGTTTCTGAGCGATGTTCTTCTACTGCAGGATCTCCGCTGCATGCTCAGGGACTTGAGCGTGGCTCCAAGTGTAACTATATAGTCTCAGTGAGGCGGGGAGGCCGTACAGTGGGCAGATACAATGTTAATTTCCTAAACCCCTAAACCCTAAACCAGCCTTGCCTGCGCTTGCGAGTGTGAGAGTCGAAAACCCCAAAGCCCCTAAACCCTAAACCCGAGCTTCACGCCTGCCTTTTGTGTTTTGCTCACCGGCCTGGCACGAAAGCACCGAAGGTCGAAACGGAAGCCGCGACCTCGCCCCCGCTCCCGTTCCAAAAACACAAGGACCCGAAGCCCAAAAAAATGCCCGTTCTTGGTACCAGGATCGCCTTGGCTCATCTCAACCCCTCGGAGCAGCAAGCGCTGGAGCAGCTGCGAACTGTGGCTCGCCAACAGATCGCGAACCCGGAACCTGAGCTGTTGGGCCCACAAACCCCATGGCTACATGAAGCCTTTTCGCGCTATATAAATCTAAACCCCGAGCCCCTAAACCGCCTCCACTGCCTACACCTTTTGGAAGCCTCAATTCGACCAGGCTCTCGACAAAGACCTGGAGTCGCTAAATGCGGAGGCTCGCTATTTGGTCCTAGGAGGCCTCGTGCAACTTGGCAGAAAGGTTGTAGGGCTCTTAGAGAGAATTTCGGGCTGAGGGGATGTGTGATGTGTATAGAGTTTCAGCAGTGGTCTTAGGTGCTTTGTGCCCAGAATTGGTTTGTGGGATAAAAGACTTAGTTTTGCGGCATTGAAGGTGTAGGACGTTTGGAGCCGAAGGTCTTTTGATGATTGTAGTCTCGAGCATTGGGCTTAAGGCCTTTATGAGTTGAAGGTTTCCGCTTCTGGATGTAAGGCTTTCAAGCCGTTGAGATCTTCAACACTTTCTGGTTGTTCCGGAGGAAGCATGCAGGCAGTCAGAAAAAGGCTTCTCCAGCTCCGATCTATCACGAGTACGATAGCCCTATAAGGTCGAGAGGTTTTAGTTGGGCCCCTTTCGGGAGAGCTGTATGTTGACTTGGGGTCTGATCACATTCGGACCGATAGCAGGGCCCTCTGGTTTTGTGCAGGCTCCTATCTACCTCATAGAATACCTGTGCCGCTGCTTGTAGTGTTGTAGGACCATCCGAGGTCAGCAGGAAAGACCAGCCTGATCAATGCGATCTTACTCGAAGCGGTTGCGGGCGCCCGCGAGGAGAGCAGTTGTGGCGGCTCAGGGTGCGCAAGCTACACTGGTTGAGTCGGCTACAGTATCCGGCTTCCCCCCAAAAGGCTCCCTTGTGATTCTGGTTTGGTGAGGTTCGTTTGGTCTTTGCTGTTCGTGACATAGCACTCCGGAGTCGGCCTAAGGCTCGAAGGCGTTGTAAAAGAGGTCTTGATGGGGTGTTGAGGTCGGGCAGTTGCCTGAAATAAGCGAGGCGGCGGAAATGTCCATCCACGCACTGCGACCATCCGAGGTCTTCAGGTAGCATTTGCGGCTCTGAGGGCATCAGCAATAAACCAGCAGCAAAAGAAGCTAAAGCATGTTCATCCCAAGACTGCAGAGGAGCTAAAGGAGGACCGTGGGGGACGCTTGAACTTGATGCCCACGTCCTTCAACGAAAACACTCGCGCCCCGGCGGCAGAGCTGGGCTTCCCTGGCTGTTTTGCTTCGTGGCTACGAGGGTTTAGGGTTTAGAGTTTAGGGGTAGGGTTTAGGGCTTTGGGTTTAGGGTTTAAGGTTTCTGGCCGGGCGAGCTCAGTTCAAGCCTGTGGAAAAGGGTTTAGGGTTTTGACCGGAAGGGCTTCTTGGAATCATGCAATGTTTTTCCTTTCTAAGACCAGCAGCTTCTAGCACCTATGTCAAGGTGAGTTCCCAAGCAACTATACTTATGCTTATGTAGACAACTCCTCGGCGAAATACATCGCGAGGCATCGTCACAGAGCTGGAGTTAAGTCCTTCCTGCGCGGCCATCGAGATCCGCCTCATGGAGACTGTGCGGGAGACGGTGCAGGAGCAGCATGAATAATAATAATAATGATGATGGTGATGATAATAATGATAATAAGGGTCTGCAGTTGGTAGTGGTACTGTAGTAAACGTCCTGGTGCTCGCCGTACTGTAGGAGCCACAGGAGCCATAGCCGTAGCAGGTAGTTGTAGTCGGAATGGTAGTGGAGGAGCTGAAGCAGCAGCAGCAGCAGCAGCTTAGCTTTGGTTCTGGAAACCTCTAAAGCACATGTCCGGAACAGGTTGAGGTTTGAACTTTTTTGCACTTGCGGTTCTGCTTATAAACACGTTCGTAAGAAGCCCACAATGCCCTCGACACCACGTGAGTCAGAAACCGTCAGAATCTTTACTTTCAGCCACTTCTATGTAAGTGGGCAATTAAGCAGTTTATGGGTCCCGTTGTTATAATGGCCCGATTCATCATATTATAGCAACGCTATTTTATAATGGCTAATTACTCCGTTGAGGGGCGGCTGTGGAGCGACCACTTCATGCCCAATTAACTAATTAACATAATGACGACGCCAATACTAGGGGCCCGCATAAAAGTCGTACATGGCAATCATCGACAATCGCGGGCCAGGTCCCATTTAAGAGCACTGGGCCCCAACTTCCGCCCTGAACCCAAGACCTGAGCCCGGGAGGATCCAGAGCTAGCGCCCCTTCAGGAGGCCTTTGCTCCTTTCCGGGTTTCGGGCTTTTCCAGCTGCCTCGTTTGATCTTCGGCACTCGATCCGGAACCCGGTGCTTGAACTGACGCATTCGGAGGTGATCGTCGTCCATCAGCTGAAGCACGAACTCATGCCTTGTCAACCCTTTTCTCCCTCCGGCATTGTCATTGCAGGTCGGCGAGGAGATCCGCCCGAATGCTGTGCGGAATTTCAAGCTCTTGCATGGATATCCGGCTTCGTGGCGGCAGCAAAGTTGGTACGGAAAGTAGAAGCACAGGTCATCACTCCCGCAGACCACAACATGTTGCCACAAACGGAGAGGTCGCATGAACTCTTATGAAATTTCGAAACCCGAAGGTCACTCCCAAGCTCTTCATCTGCTCTCTCACAGCCACCCCTGCAACCTTATCATCCTGACAGAAGGCTCCCCGCCCTGGAAGGTAGTTCTCTCTGGATCTCGTCCGCTGCGGCGATTGTTGCTCGGCTTTCGAGTGAAGCTGGCTTGTTTCGTTTGACTTGACGACCCCTGCGTGGGCGCTGTTGCTACTCAAGTTGCATGCCAGCGTCAGTAACACACTAGTCACTAGTCTGTCTATTCTTGTTGGCTCTGATCTTGTCCTGGCTCTTGCACTTTGCAATGTTTCTGCTGGTGCCTGGCAACCGTGTTCCGTTCTTGCTTTCCCTCCTGGCTTTGAGGTCCACCCAACGGCCACCCTAAATTCACCCCCACAGGCGCCAGGTCTGCCCCAAGGCCCTGCAACCCCTTCTCGAATCGTATGGCCCGATGCCAGCATGCACCACTCCCAGATCTGAAGGCAGAAGCACCTCCAGGAGCTTTGCGCAGCGCAGGAACGGCTTGGTTTAGGGATGATACCCATCGCATAGGTTAGTTGACCACCTTCGAATATGTTGCGTATCACTTTTCTGAGTTCTGGCAGCCCCTGCAATTCCATCCAGCGTCCAGATAATATCCGTGCAGGTTCCGGCAGGTTCCCATCGGCGCCTTCATGTGCGGCGGCTCAGCAAAATGCATAGGCTTAAGGGCTGTTTTTTGCGTTACGTTTTGTGGGTATGGGGCTTGGTGGTAAGATGTAGATGCTATATTATACACCTAACTCATTGCAGGAATCAGTATTAGCTAACTAGTTAACTCTATATATACAGATATATATATATATATATGTACATATATATATATAAGACCCACATAATGTAAGTCAGATGTTGGCTTCGGAGCTCAGTCTGCCGGATTTGTTCGGTTGCTCTCTAAACCGAGTCTGCACTGAATCTTCAGATGCCCACAGAACCTGCACACACAGGAAACAGAATCATGTCGCTACTTTGCCGGTCTTCCCGCAAGGGCCTCAAGCATATGATGGAAAGCACCCGCTGTAGGGGCCTAAACCCTAAGCCAAGCTCCTGAACCCCTATACAGTACCCTTCGCTTCGCGCCCAGGCTGCCCTCGCAAAACCTGGAGCATGCGCTCTCGATCATCGACACTCCCGGCCTGGACAGTCCATCGGTCCCCTGGCAGCGGAAGGGCTCAGGATTTCGGTCTCTTGAGTGAATCTCTACTAGTCGAAGAAAGATTGTTATGATCATATCTGTTCGAGGGTGAAAAGCGATTCAAGAACCCACACTGTAAGCCCAAAGCTTGTAAGTTGGATGCAGCGTGACCTTGTGTTCTACAGAGTATGTATAGTATGGTAACTGCGTAGTAGTATCGCAGGGTATGCAGTCAGAGGTTCGTTCGTACACAGGATACAAAAAAGACATTTTTTCATCCTGAGAACGTAGCGTCCATCCACGGAGCCGAGGTATGGAGGCAAGTCTCCGACGTGGTTCAGTCGAAGGTGCTGTGGCCGTAGAATGGTCGCTAGGATGGTGTCGTAGGGGATGTTAACTTAACCTAGGCTCGGAATAGCGAGGAATGGTATCCCCTCATAGTGCCCCTTTACTGATGCTATATGATATTAAGGGGATTAAGGGGGTCTAAGTGCCCAATCCTTGGGTTAAGAGTCCGGTAACTAAAACCCCACCCATGTTGTCGAAGTGTTGGGGATCTCGCTTCGAGGAATTAGAGGGTTCGGGGTTTAGGATCGCGCATACAGGATCCCCCCCATCTTTGGTGTTTGCACATTTCTGATTGCGGAATGCAGCCCAACAGCCGATTGAAGTAGCAGACCAGCGACGCCGTGATTCGCCCCTGAAAGACCGAATAGCTCAGAAGAGCTGCATCGGTCGAGTCGCGAGAGTCCAGAAGGCAAATACGCTAACTGTTGAACTTCTATGTGTGAAGTTCAGGCTCAGACTCTAGCAGCTCCGACAAAAGGACAGAACTTGTGTCCCAGCAAGCTGCAGCCCGGTAGACTCGGACCCTGAGAAGCACAAGTATCCGAACCCTAACCCTGAGGCCTTCCTAAACGCCAAACGTAGCCGTCCATTCTCCGAAAAGCAACCTTACACCTTAAACCCAATCACTAAACCCACGACCCTAAACCCTAGGGAAAAACCCGATACCAAGGCTTTCCTTTTCCTTTGGGTGGCCTCCTTGGACTCTGCGTCGGCCTTCGGGCTGCAGGGCCATCACCTCTTGGAGCTCCACAGGCGCCGACGCCTTGCTGGGCTGGCCCAAACCTTTTTTCAGCCCGGAATCTAGCGGTTTAGAGGGTCCTAAACCTCTAGAGACTCTAGGGTCAAGGATCTACCCGCAGACAATAGTCATCACGGAGTCCTTGCTATTATTAGCCTAGCAGCCGCAGTAGGGGTACTGGTGAAGAGAAGATTTGGATGTGGGATCGATGGCTTCGGGCATAGTAAAGCGGTCTGAATAATTTGCAAAAGTATTCCCCCTCCCCCAGCCCGATAGGATAGTTCGTCCTATTCTGAAGCGTTTAACCTTTCAATCCTTGGGTGTTATTGAAGTGCGTTCAAGAAGCAGCATGATGGGGCACTCGGCATTACTGCCTACCCTTGCCATTTGAAGTCGAGGCTGAAGCCATCCCTGAACCCTAAGCCAGCGTCCGAGTTGCAAGAGTCCAAACCCTAAACCATGGGTCGTTCAAAGAACCCTAAACGATGTGTCTCAGCCGCTCTACAGATTTTGCCCGGACAAGCATCTTAGGCCTTAATCCCCGAAGCTGCAAGTAATAAAAGGGCCTTAAGGGCCTTAAGCATTTATCGTATTCCTTTTAGGCTTCCCGAATGGAATTGTAGTATATATATATATAATAATATAATATAATAT